TCGGTCCTTACTGCTGCATCGCGCCCTGCTGGCGCCGCGCTCGCTTTGGCCACCCATTTCCAGCTTCAGCTTGAGCAAGGCGAGGATATGCAGTACTGCGTTACATAAGCCTCAGCCTGTTTGCAGCGTCAGGAATGCTCTGAATTCTCCTAGGCTGCTTGTGGCTGTGTTTAGCTTGATGCCGTCACCTATTTTCAGTGAGTACTTGCTGTGCCCTCACCCACGCGGCTGGTGGAGAGGCTGAGCAGGAGTAGACTCGGGGCAGAACTGAACAGGAATGCTAAGATGCTTTCCCACTGCAAGAACAAACTCTTAACTACCAATCTCCTCTGAGAGTCATTTTCATTTCGTGGAATTGTGTACTGGATAAATAATGGTCACTTAAGAGGCCTTTCCTTGGCTTTAAGAATATTAAATGGGTATAAAAATTTTACTTGCATACTGTGTTTGTGTCTTTATCCGTGAGATTGAAAGAAAGAAGTCTGGATGATAAATTTGGTTTTGTTAGCCCTTAGTCAGGAGGCTTAGAAATGGATTATATCAAGGTTTTTCTTTAACACTGTTGTAAATTTGTAGACTTAAAATCTCCCACAGGAATGTATTTTTCATCTTTTACAAGAGGTGTAAGAGATGAGGCTTGTCAGGTAATTGAGGTAACCAAAAAGCTGCATTGGCATTAACATGTAACAAAGCCCAGGGCCTTTTTCTTCTATATTCTCTGAAACAAAGAATGACTACAGAGAGTGATTTCATATGACAAACCATCCATCTAAGCCTGCAGGGTTTTTACTTTTATTAGCTACCTGAATTGTCAAGAAGTTTCCTTGTTTGGCAGCCTCAGCCCAAACTTTCCAGTCTGAACAGTTGCCTGACAAGCTGACTTTGTTTTTTTCAGTTTTCATTCAGCACTTCACCGACAATTTGTAAGTTTCTGTGGTTGTGGTCTGACTTTGACTGTTTTATGGAGTTTGCTGTAGCTAATGGTTTAATAAATCTGTTAAACAGGAAGATTTCAGAGGTTGATTAAATAACTCATCTCGCCACATTCATAAACAAAAGAAGAGAGACAGCTAATAGATCCAAGTCCATGACGTTCTGGTTATTTGACTGTGTTTAAAGGCTTCCTAAAGTTACTGCCAAGGGAGCTGTGGACTGTTTTGACACTGAGCTGAGTGAATACTTACATGGCCTTATTTTTCCTCTCCCGTAGGAAGAGGTTGACCCATCACTTCAGGCACTTGAGTCGCGGCAGGAGGAGATCCTGAAGCGGCTGTACGAACTGAAGAGTGCTGTCGATGGGCTCTCAAAGATGATACAAACCCCAGATGCTGACTTTGATGTAACTAATATCATTCAAACTGATGAGTTTTCTCCTTTGACAACAAGTGGAGCAGATTTAGATTTGATGCTTGGAAAGGTAAGTGTAGTTGAGCAGGTACATTGGTGGGCATTTCTCTGCTCTCAGATTTTCAGGGTTGCACTAAATCCTGGGATGCAGAGCTCAGTGTGTATCTTGTATCCTGACAGGTAACCTACAACTGCCATTTCATTTGAGTGTCCAGATTATGGACATATTTATTACTAACTAATCCTATGTATGCTCATTTGGATATAATTCCAAGATAGAATAGTTAATTTTGGAATTACAACAGTTGGTTTCTTGGTTGTTACTAAACTGAAAATTTAAATTTTGGCTTCAGATTGGACTAGAGTTACCTCGGACATGTCCTTGAATTATATGTTGAGGAAGGAACATGCTTAATGGTTTAAAACAAGTTTTAAATGTCCAAACTTGAATTAATTTGACTGTCGTTAGTATTTCAGATATACCCATGCACGGGTGTGCACTTTGGCATCAAGTGAAAACACTACTTAGAAGTCTGATCTGGAGTGTGTCTTACCTGCTGAATGTTTTACTTTCCATTCAGGATTATGGTGCCCTGAAAGATGTTGTCATCAATGCAAATCCTTCTCTACCTCCACTGTCACTGTTAGTGCTACACAGTTTGCTCTGTGAACGGTATAAAATACTGTCAGCTGTTCACACACATTCATCAGTGAAAAGTGTGCCAGAAAACCTCTTGAAATGCTTTGGAGAGCAGACTAAGCAGCAGCCTCGTCATGAGTATCAGTTGGGCTTTACTCTCATTTGGAAAGATGGTAAGAATGAAATTATCTTGTAGATCAATATTTTACAATAGGTGAGAAAATGAAGCTTGTGCTGTAAACCTTTGCCAACAGGTGCTTTGGTGTCTCTGTGCTGACACAGGGTGGATATGTACTGCAGGTAACATTTACTGTCTGTTCGTAGCTGTGACAGTGATGACACAGAGGAGGCAGATTCGTGTAGTTACTGTTAAAATGCACATGGCATTGACAGGGTTGTTCATACCCACAGGAATTTTTTTATAGAAGTGTTTTTCAGTTTCTAAAAATAAGATGGCTAGAATAGAAATGAGGTGGGAGGTTTGGCTGAGGTTTTCGAAAAGTGATGTCTTTATCCCAGAAAACTGAAAATGGTTCATCAGGTTTTTGATGTTAACAGTGTTGCTGACATCCCAAATAAAATACATCACAGAATTACCATTAACTTTACCACGTGGTATTTCCTTTCTTTCTTTTGCTCCTTTCAGTTCCCAAACCCCAGATGAAGTTCAGCATTCAAACAATGTGCCCTATAGAAGGAGAGGGGAACATCGCTCGGTTTCTCTTTTCCCTGTTTGGCCAGAAGTACAATGCAGTTACCTCAACCCTGATTGACAGCTGGGTGGATACAGCCATCTTCCAGCTGAGAGAAGGCAGCAGCAAGGAGAGAGGAGCAGTTCTGCGCTCCATGAACGCTGCCCTGGGCAAGACTTCGTGGCTGGTGGGGAATGAGCTCACGGTGGCCGACGTCGTGGCCTGGTGTGCCCTGCAGCAGACAGGCAGTGCCAATGCTGCCCCTGCCAATGTGCAGAAATGGATGAAATCGTGTGAGAATTTGGCACCTTTCAGCTCTGTGATGAAGCTACTCAAGTGAGCCTGCGCTCCTCATACTGGTGTGATTTTAAGTCTTACTCCACCTCATGTCTGCTGTAGTGGTTTGAGTCCTTTCTGGGATGTATGTAAGTTCTAAAATCAATAAAGCCATTACAGCTGCCCCTTGGGTGTGATCTTCCTTTTCTGTAACTGATGCATAACACGTGTTTGTTCAGTGATTGTAAGGTGTGTAAATAACAAGCTGTGCTCTTAATCTTTCCAGTGCAACATGAATCCTTTCTCTTGTCCAGAGCCTTCTGAACCAAGGCAGAAAGGTACATTTAAGGAACAGACAGTAAAGTGAAAATGGATTTGAATATTTTATGTAAAAAAAAAGAAACTTTTTATATCTTAGCATACAATAGGTTATTTCTTCCTGTACTCAAACAGGAGAGCCCAGTCTCATATGTTCATCTTCCTCCTCAGAAAGCAGTCTGATTCTCTCCCTCAGCTTCTCTATCTCTTCTTCTTGCTCTCTCACCTTCTGTTGGAGGTTAGAAATAACCTGAAAATAACAGTCAGTTTACATCCTTTGTAACCAGGCAAGGATAAAGCCTTACTGACAATCTGAATTACGTTTGCAATCCACAACAGGCACATGCTGCAGCACCTCAGCCATTCTACATATTTGGTAGATAACAATCCACAAAGTAGTAGGGCAAGGAAGGGGGAAATTGCTAACAAAATGATGACAAAAAGCTTCAAAAGCTTTTCTGACCTATGAAAGTACCTCACAACTGTCTCATCTTCATGTAATTAATGACCATTTATCTCAGTGCAAGACACGAGAAACATTAATACAGTGGCCTAAATAATCAGAGTCTGAATCACATACTTCTCTTAAGCTGAAAAGAAAACAAACCTAATCCAGGCAGGGAAGCAAAAGACATTTTCTTTTGGCATTTCTTTATCCTGTTGAGGTTAGTGGCACAACTTACATGTTCTGTGGTGTGAAACAGTTCACTTTCCCGAAGCTGAGCAGCACTTGGTCTTTCTGTGGCTCCCTGACTGGTGAGGAGTTTAACATACTTGGCTTGAGTAGGCCATGTCTTGTAGAAAGTGTCAGGAATTTGGCCATTCCTCAAATGTGTAAGAACTTCAGTTCTTTCCATTTCTGTTCCAAATGGGTGGAAGAGTTCTAGCAGGATAACACCCACGCTGTACATGTCTGACTGGTAAGGGAGTGAAGAGAAAGTTCTGGGGTAACTGCTAGTTTAATTGCTAGATTTTTCTCATTAAAAAAATCATGACCTGAAAAGGTTTCACAAGAATGAAGTTCCATGATGATACAAAAAGCAGTGACACTACTAAAGGAACACAAGTTCAAATCTATATACATTCTCAAGATGATCTCAGAAACAAATAATCTTTGCATTAACAGTAAACTAGAAGGCAAAGGTGAAATCCATGTTTCAACAAAAACATCAGGAGCAACAGTAGGAGGAATATTTATGTATTACCAAATACCTATTTTCCTACTGAAATGTTTGATTTATTGCTATTATCTATCGTGTTAAAATAAAACAAGATAAAAAAACCCACAAAGAGAAAACTCAAAGCTCCCTACCTTGAAATCATAGTGAGATCCCTGCAGTTGTTCTGGTGAGGCATAGAGGCAAGTCCCCACTCCTGAAGTATGTGTCAGCCCTTCAAACAGGCAATTTACACTTAGTGTTCCATTGTTACCCTTTCACTTAACAGTTTAATGATTTTAATATCATAGAAATGTCAACATAAACCCATTAAGCTTTTTTTTGTCTTACCATTTACCCTTTCTGGCTGAAACCACTGGTCTGCATCAACCCAAAGAAGGTCTCTGCAGGCTAATCCAAAGTCACCTATTTTTACATGATTATCTGATCCATGTAGAAAGATATTTCTGGGCTGCAAAAGACAGAAGACAATTTGAAATTATGTCTAGCAAGAATTATGAAATTTCAGTTGTTTCAAAGTCTACAAAATCCAGTGTTTCACAGGTATGAGATTATTATTTAACAGCTTGAGTAGTGAGAGAGAAAAAAATAGTCATAGCTGATACCAAATTATGTGTTAGCAACACCATTTGGGCCATTGTGGAACGGTAATTAAACAGGAACAGGCAAGAGTGGACAGCAAATTAGACCAAGAGATGTAGCAGGAAGGATGACTAAGTATCATCTTTGGGCAAGACAATGTAAATCAAAATACACTTTTCTATACAGTAAGCACAGCTGCAGTTTGTCACTTGGTGCTGGAAAGTTGCTATTGAAAAAACCCCGAATTATAAGAAACTTTAGTAGAGAGCTCTGACTGGGAAAACTGAAGTAGTTTTATCCATGTATTTTGGCTTTAGGGCCACTAAGGAGGTAAAATGCAAACATTATGTGCCTGGAAATAAAAACCCACTTGCTGAGGTGGCAGAAATGAAATAGTTGATCTTCTGTTAGAGTATAAAGCAGATGTGAAGAGTTTAACAAGAGATAGGCAATCTCCATTTCTTCAATGCAGACGAAATTTAAAAGGTGCAGTATTGCTGAACAAGTTGTTATGCTTCTTGTATCCACTGAAATAAAGAGATACCCAGGACACCCACCCACTGGATGTCTCAGAATGCTGAAAAGACTTAGAATATTATCACAGGAGCTACTGTCTCTGCAAGGTATCTGCAGAATCACCATTAGAAGAATCTATGGTGTAAACAAGCACTGGCTCAAAAACAGACTCACAGTAACTGCATGGAATTCTGTATATAACTACCAGGACTTGGGACAATAAGGGCATGATGATGTTGAACACAAAAGCAAATTGAGAAACTGTTGACCATGAAACAGTTGACAGAAAAATGACAATCCAGAATGAAGAGTGTGTGTTTTCACGTAGTTCCAAAGCCTCCACATGTGAAGTTTTAATAATCAAGATGATTTTTACACTCCACTTCCTCAGACAGCTACTGTAACAGACACAGAAAACCTCAGAGGAAGCAAAGTATGAAAATACATACTCAATTCTGTGCTATTTGGGTCTATCAGTTAAGGGGGGGGCAGGGCAGAACCAAGTTACATCTACCTGTGCCTCACCTCTAAGCCAGTCAATAAGTCAAAACTTTTCTTATTATTAGAGTTCCAAAAGAAATTCACAGGAACATATCAAGGGCATCCTATTCTAACCATTCCAAGTGATGTTTTTTAATCCTGCTCTTTATTGCTTTTAATAGGAATGAACCCAAAATTTTTGGTCACTAACGTCATCTACAATTTCGGTTCCTTTTTTTAGGTAATTAATTTAGGTCCTACCCTGGTTAAGGAAAGATCAAGACATAAGAAAACCAATCTGACCATCCCTGTTTAGGACAAGAAAATGGCTTCACAAAGGAGAAAACAGTTCCAGATCTTAATTATAATCCACTTGTAAGTATATGTAAATTGAGTATTGTGCTTATAGTAAAGAAAGTATGTTACTGGTGTAGAGGAGACAATGTGGGACATGAGGAAATTCTTCAGAGCCCAGGTCATCTCAAATTAACCATGAAGTTCCTTTCATTCTCCCATAATGTAAGTTATCTCTGTTTTCTTCAACCTCAAGCAATAACTGAATGAACTTACTTTAATGTCTCGATGCATCACTCCCATGCTGTGGATATAGCAAACTCCTTCCACCAGCTCTTGAAAAATTTTCATTGTCCAGTGCACATCCACGAGATGATATGGACCTTAAAACAATTCAAGTTATTTCAGCTCATTTTACTGACTTATTTAAGTTTATGGTGGTATGTCTTGTTGAACTCTGTTTATTTATGCTGGGGAATAAAAGTTGAACAGAATGATCATATTTTAAATACAGGTTTTCCCATGCTTCCCCTAAGATAGTATTTTTGAAACAGCAAAAAGTCACTAATGTCAAAATTCCAAAAAGGGAAGTTCAGGGAACATGAACATATGTCTGTCTGAGAAGATTCTTCCAAACCCCATACTTGACTATGAATTTAACAACCTCTTTACTTTCATCTAAGTACATGAAAAACAGAGTTTCAGGTAGAATCATACTAATCTATGTAGCGACACGTTGTCTGTATGGATTTGCACTCTTCCTTTTGGATCCTAATCCTTCTGCTGTTGTGCTGCCCTCTGAAATTCCCCCATCTCCTCTGGCTGTAGCTGTTCTAAATAAACTTTGCATAATTGTTTTTACCACTTTCCACATTACTATTTCATTAAGCTACACTGTCTCCCTGCTCTCATGACCCATAACTAACGTGTCACTGCCCCTTTGAACACTCACAGAAACCCAAGTGGGAGTGAATGGTTTCTCCATGTCTAACCTATGATAACATTCACCTTTCCTTCCCTGTCCCCTGTGAAAGTTTGTGAAAATGGCATTTTGCAAGGTCAAATGCCCTAGTGATTCTGTCATTCCCTGCACCTGGAATGTCACCTTTTAGCTCAGTGAGTGTGATTACAGCAGAGGTTAGTGGAAGTCAGCTGACAGAGTTGGTAAACCTGAGTCCAGGACTGAAGAGAAGAACAGATTTATTTTAATAGTCATTAAAAATGAAGATGAAATATTAATCATACAGTTATGTTTTACAATCTGTTATGCCTATGCTTTTTTATACAACCACACAAGAGAATGGAACATATCTCTAATGCTTAAAGACCATAAGACTTGTTCTTCCAAGTGACAACAGTTATTCAAGAGTGTTTGGCATCAGGGTGTGAGAACTCCCCTGGTCACTCAGGCAAAGCAAATGTGAGATGTTTTAGACCTATTACAAATTAACCTGCATAGGATTTTTGATTCAAGAGAACAAACTTTTAGTTTTGTAATAACCTGTCTGGATCAAATGACATATCTGTATTTTCCACAGCAGATAAATTAACCTTTAAACAGCTCTCTGAGAAAAAGCAGATTCTGTCAATAAAAAACTCTATTCCAAACCAGGAGTATTGCCCAGACAGATCTCCCCAGGTAACAGCTATGCCTCAGGCATACAGTCATTCTTTTTGAAGAGTTGTCTAAAACTCAGGAACTTAAATCCTTTTGCCAACTTCTATCATACAAAGATTCAATACAAGCTGCTATTTGATTAAGTGAATAAAGAATCTAATGAAGATCTATGTTATTAGCTGCTGAAGCAAAACAAAATCTGGCAACGGGGCTTACAATTACCAAAAAAAGGCTTATTTGCCTTACAATGAGTAAGTAAATTTTTAAGACAGTGATGGATCTTACTGGAAGTTTCCTCTATTCTCTCACTGCATCTCTGATTACGGTCAGCAATCCAATCCCACAGGGATCTCTCACACAGCTGCATTTGGATATGAAGCATCAAAGGATATTCCACCTAACAGAAAAATAATGGCCCGTGATTTTGCCACTGGAATATGAACAGTATTTCCTTAGCTATTTTCTTTAGAGCTAATAAACCCAAAATTTATTAGACAAAACCCACCCCAAATCCCCAGTTAGAAACCAGAATTACATCAAGTACAGTATTACTACTGCATTCAAAATGCAGATGCAGCAATGCTATCTAGTTTTGGGTGGGTTTTTTTTGCTTGTTCCTCAAATTTCTGCAACTGATAAATGATAAATGCTAACCAAACTTCATACATACCTGAATATTTTAAAATATATAAAAGATATATATACTCAAATTAGAGTTTAAAAGCTTCTAGACATACCAGAGGTTCATTCCAACTTAAGAATACAGTATAAATTAATATAAAGTAGCAAAAAAATTTAACCTCTTGATATGGAATTTTATGAAATCATAGAATTGTTTAGGTTGGAAAAGACCTTTAAGATCACTGAGTGCAACTGTTTGATTTATTACCATGCATATGTAGCTCAGTTTCTGATAATGCCCCAGTTCATTTGATAACCTGGACTCAAGCAGACACCTTTAAAATTGGATTTCCTGCAAGAGGAACTCCAAATGATAGCAAAAGCTATACCAAACATCTCTGGAATGTTTCAAGCTTTCAAGTTTGATGGGGCTGTTTCATGCAGTAGTACTTCTTATTCATGTAGGTACTTTGAAAGGACTCTGATGACTAACACATGGAAACTTTCTTGCATGCTGAGTTTTGCCAGCTCCTCTGGTCAGCTTTCTTGTAATGGTGTTACTCACTTCAGTAGAATGGTCTGAGCTTCTGGCTCTAATTGCAGTAATTTTATGCTTTTAAATTTATCACTGTAATTCATTCCTCTGTCTACCAAACTACTGTACAAACATCACTCAATTAGAGAGCACCGAAGTGTATTTAAAGAGAGCTGCATTTACCTCGAGCCCTACACAGAGAGCTACATCATTCCTGGAGCATTCTTCAGTGCAGGACTTGCTTTCAGTGCTAGCCCCTTGACCCAGACTGGAATGAGGTCCCCATGCTGCATGATTTTTCACACCAGTTGATGAACTGTTAATGCTATTTACAGAGTCTTCTTGTAAGTCTATGGATAATTCACATTTATTTGGTTTCACACACTCTTTACTGCTGCTGTTTGTAAAATCGTTCCTTACATCCATATTGTGCACTGATTCACTTCTCAGATTTCTAAGACTGGAACTGTTATAGGACTTCTTTTCTTGTGAAGGAAGGTCAGCAAAGATAATTGAGCTACCACTTTCAGCACTCTCAATGTGACAGTGATCACTGAAAATAATAAAGGGAGAGAAATCCAAGTAAGCACAATTTTATACCATCTGTTTGTGATACACTATACTGAAAACTCTTTCTTTTCCAATTAAAACTGCATTTCAGAGTAAGAGTTCAGCTGCTCCCCCATATCAAACTCCAGGATTACATAACTGGCAGTGTAGGCTCCAGCCTTGGTTAATACCTTCCTGCAGCAGAGATTTCTGACAGCTGACCCAGACAGCTCTGTCTCACAGATACACACAGTCCTAGGTCACAGCATTCACTGGACAGAAGCATAAAGCAGCTCCAGTTCTTTAAACTGAGGAAGTTACACTGTTTTTCATACAACTCTGTCTCCTTATCGTAAGGGCTAACCAACACTTCTGGGAAACAGAAGCCACATCACTCTGAGACTCCACAGTACTGATCACTGTTGCTGACTGGCACAGAACTGAAGTAAACTTGAAGGCCAGTACTACACTCAGACACTCACAAACTGAGAGATCCAAAGAAGGCAGAATTATCCAGTAATGTTCTTAAGCTTACTCAACAAGAAGAGAAAGAATGACAAAGATCGTTCAGACTTTTTTGGTTATAATTTGGAAGCAAAGAGTACTTGTGCCATATATGCTGAATTCTGCAGTCTTTTAGTGTGACATTAAGAAAAAAACCCTTATATAAAAGTCAAATATAGCTTATCACTGAGACCTGTAATACTCACTTGCTGCTCTCTTGCTCCAAAGATAATGGCTGCAGCTCCATTAATGTTCTACCTGTTGGGTGAAAAGACAAATACGGTATTTTACAAATCCAAGCATGCATGCATATATTTACTATAAACCAACATTTAGGCCACAGCACCTTACTGCATTTAACTTCATTGCCTGTAGATTTAGAATCATAGAATCAGCTGGGTTGGAAAATATCTCCAAAATCATCAAGTCCAACCCTACTGTGGTTACTAGACCATGGCACTAAGTGCCACATCCAGTCTCAGCTTGAAAACCCCCCTGGGCAGCACATTCCAATGACTGATCACTCTCTCTGTAAAAAATCTCTTCCTAATATCCAACCTAACCATACCCTGGCAGAGCTTGAGTCTGTGCCCTCTTGTCCTCCTGCTGGTTGTCTGGGAGAAGAGACCAACCCCCACCTGACTACAACCTTTCCTATCTTTCCCTCTATTTCTGCTACTGCAAATAGTGCTTGTTAAGACTACTAAGAAGTAACTCTTAACAGGGATTTAATTTTTCTTTAACTGAAAATAACATACATGTTGTACAAAGCCACTGAAGGGTTGTACTGAGCTCTCCTAGATATTTACTTAGGCTACACCTTTAAGAAGTCAGCCTGTCCAAAATAAGAATGCACTTAACACAGGTAAAGAAGCAGCTCCATAGGCACCACCCTTCACATCACCCTGCAGCTGTTTCAAAGACACTTGCAAATAACTTTCATTATAAAATTGTAATTTTATGCAAAAGAAGCTGTTTGCTTTAGCCCACAGAATCAAATATCAAACACCAACCTTGTATGATAAGGAAAGCCATTAAGTACCACAGAACCTACTGGTAGATATCATTATGTACTTACATTATCACCATGAAACACCTATGAAGGACTCCTAGCACTAAATGGTTGTATCCTTTGAGAGTCTCTGGATCAGAGGTAAAAAAAAGTCTTACCTCTGTTACTATACTGTCAACTTCCTATGCATTTTCTTTTGTGCTTATAGCTGGTTGGGTGTCAAGTCACTGACTTGGAAAGCAATAAAGTCTTACAGAGCATAAGCAAAGCTCCCACCAGGAGAAGATCTAAAGATCTAACTGCAAAAGGCATTCCACAAAAGGACAAGTATGCAACCAATGGATTAGGGTTACAAAGGCACCAAAAGATGGGAGTGTGGAGTCAAGCCCAAAGAAACTGAAGAGGGAAAAAAAAGGCGGCCAGGAAGGTGGTGCAAAATGAACACAAAAGTAGATAAAATCTCAGCAGTTACAGATAGTAGCCGATACACCAAAAAAAAAAAAAAAAAATCAGATTGATCTGTCACTGCAGAACTGTGAAACGCAATTAATCAAATTTGAAATACCTCCTGTGGAAAACAAAGGGGATTTTTTTTTTTTGGTCATTAACATGTTTATTTCCAGGTTCTTTCAGTTCTTCTAAACTCTTTTCCAAGACAGGAAGAGAAGCATAGTGGGAGACTTCCTCTACTTTTGCTACAACACAAAATTCTGAGACTTCACATGATGGCAGCAAATTTGGGGTGTTTTTTTTATTCTACTCATCACTTTCCCCAATACCTTAAGTGGCTCATTTCCCACCATTCTTCTTGTCAACTCACTACTTCTCGTGTTAAAAGGTTTTCACTGCATTCCACTGAGTTTCACACAACTTTAAAATACTCCTTATCTATTACCAGAAATGGAGCTAATACTTCCACAGTTCCAAAGTCATCATTAAGTAACAGCTAAGTCATTCAGTAAGAGATCAAAGTGCCCAGAGGGACCTGCAGTTCTCCTTTCTATTGTTTTGAGGTTTTTTTAAGGACAGGAATAAACAGGTTTTTTTTACCAGAGAAGTAATACTCCCCTGCAAATACTCCCCTTATAACAGAGGTTATAAGATACAAGCATGAATTACACACTATGCTGTACTTTCCTTTTGGATGTACTGTTTGAACTTGTTCCATCCAAGCAGTGTGATAGCCCACAATGTTGGGATGCTGCAGCCCAGCCAGCACTTTCACTTCTCTTAGCACCTGCAAAGACCAAAACCACCTCAGTGTGACAGTCCTTTCCTCTGAGTGCTTAGTAAACACACAAGATAACAAAAAAAAAGTTTTTCATAGAGAAAGAACAGATAAAATTATGTCAGTAACGGTGAAAATTTAGAAGCTTTAAAACAAATTATGATCTTCATAGTTGCAAAGATGATCAAATTCAAGTAAACAACATCCTCCTTTTAATGGACTTAAATGCCTCTAATTTACTTTTTTCTACTAGATATTGATAGGGTCAAACCTTTAGAAACTCAGAGCGCATACAAAATGGTATTAATGCTTTTGATGTTTTGGGAAATATTAACTGCAGTAATAAATCAGAGTAAGCTACAGTCAGCAAGGAGTTAAAACAGGGAAGAAGCTCAGGGAGGAGAATACCTTCATGCAATCTCTTCTTGTAGCCTTCTTGATTTTAATTTTTTTAATAGCGTAGAACTGACCATCTAACTTGTTTCTGACCTGAAAACAATTGCAATAGGACAAAAATTAGATGTTAATGTGTTTAGATTAATTCAGTAAATCTTTCAGAACTAACTATTTTCTAAAAACTAATATCTGCACTCCATTCATATGGACTATCACCTGTACCAGAGAATGCAATTGGGATTATGCCCAGCTAAAACAAGGATATTCTGCTTCTGTCTTCTTTCAGGACTGTAAACATCTAACTTAATCTTTGTGAAATACATACCTATACAAATACCTTTCCATCCACTAAAAAGTACTGATAGGACCTGATAAGTGCTTAAATAGGTTCCAAATAAATCTGTTAGTCTGCACCTCTTCCATTGGAAAATGAGTGGTTTTGTATTTCCATTAGAAAGATAAACAAAACAGCCAAAACACTAACTCTAAATTCCAAAGAAAAACTAGATCTAAAGTGATCATTGTAAGTGGAAGTTAAAGAATACCTTGTATACTTTGCCATATCCTCCTCTTCCTAGCTTTGCAACCTCATCAAATTCGTTCAGGTACCGTGAAGTCTGTGCTTCAAAGAGAATTTCTTTTTCCCTAATAAAAAAAAAGTTAGGCTGCATGAAATAAATTACAACTTATAAATAAGGTTCTATATAGGCAGAAAAAAGTACTTTGACATCACCATACTGTACTAGACACTGTTTCAGTGAACCCTGAAAACCAGCAGACTGCCAGAGCATGCACATGTGCTACAAATCCACACTCTGTGTCAACAGAAGTATTCAGATTCTTTCCTTTATATTTATGCCTGATAAATCTTGTTTTCCTCAGTGGTGGCACTGAGAGTAGTACCAAAGAAGGAATTTTCACCAGATTGTTTTGAGAATTTGGAGTTATTTTCATTTTGTTTTCTGTGTTTCAGAGCCAAAATATGAAATGCAGTATTAATTAAAACTCAGAGTGGAGCACAGAACTTTAGGGAGGGAGTTAGGCTTAATACTTGTACATGCTTTCAATACATACCCAACTGCATGAGAATCTCCATTTTCAAGTTCCTATGAAACAAGAAAACCCAACATAAAAATATGCCACACAGAGCAACAGTTCTACTGTGCCACTGGCACAGACAGCTCAATCAAAACAGGAACTGCAACCTTGTTCTTAGAAGAAAAAGAGGTCACTGACAGCCATTCACATGCTGCAGAGAGAGCTTCACCAAATCAAAGTATTATTATCCCACTGGTAATCTGTTAACATCTCTCTGCTGGAGAGATTACTGCCCTTTTGGAGTTCTGCTGACAATCAGGATAAAATGAGGGCTGTAAAATGTGCTCAAGACAAAATTAACTAGCTTAGTTCAAGCAGTAAGATAAGCAAAGTGGTCTGACTCAGCCTGAAGCACATTTTACAGTGTACTAATTACACCCTCCACTAAGGTAAATATGTGGGTGTTAACCAACAGTTCAAAGGTGAAAATGGATGTCTGTCCATTGTCAGAAACAGCTGTAGCAACACCTAAACCACCTTGCTTTTTCTATTTTTTAACTTGTTTTATTATTATTGTTGACGTTATTGTTATTATTAAGGCAAAAGATATTGCTGACTTCAAAAGCCTCAGTTTGCACTACAGAACCAGAACAAGTAATTCCAAACAGTTAAGGGAGACCGGTAGTGCCATGTTGAATAATCATTTAAAAGACCCAATCCACTATTAAAAGAACCCCCAAACAAAAGCTCCTTAATGCAGAGGCTGCCAGAGGAATTTCACAAGGCTTACCCCGTTAAGTATTTGTCGATTAGCTGCTTTCATGAGTTCAGTAATGGCTCTATTGTGCTGGAGTCTTACAGTACTAAATTCATCACAAAAGGCAAAAGGGGAGAGCAACCCGGTTCTTGTGAAAGCCTGGCGAAGTACTGCACAAAGGAACAGAGAGAGGTCAGAGGAACATTAAATAAAGCCTGCCAATAAGACCATGTAAACAGTTGTTTTTCAATGAGAAACTTTATTTGAAAGATAACACAACCCACAAACTGAACAGTCCCTCCTACTCTAATGCTGTGCTAACTCTTAGCAATAAAAACTAATTAAATCCCAACCAGAGCTGTTCTATGGGAATCCCTTTGCACAACACAGTTCTCTGCTTTGCCCTTCAGGGTCACAATTGCATCTCCTTTTCCTCCTCATCTCAGCAGATGAATTATACAAACATCTACTCATCCACTTACATTTTACTTTTGGACTAATTTGGAGCAGCAAAAAGAAAAATTCAAAGCGTGTTCACAATTATTTATAATCCAAAAATGGCAAGGTCAAGATTTTCTAACTCACACCCAAACTCACACACTTGTGCACATAGTCATACTAAAGAATGCACCTTCTGCCATCACCCCAAGCACCACATCTTTCTCAGCTGGACTAGACAACTGTGGCAGACAAAACCCCAACAAATACTGCAGATGGGTGCAGAAGATGCTACAAAAATGTACTTACAAGTTTTAGGAGCTCCAAGGTCTTAAAACAAACCTGTCCCTAAGAAGTTTTTTAATGTTTCTTCAGCACCAGTATTTTTAAAATTCGGCCTATTACTTTCTCTTTTAAAGGAGATCAAATGTATGGAAAGTGAACTTCTAAGAAATCATGAACTTTGCTACACAAAACTTATGGGCACAGTCACACACATCAGAGAAGTGGGAAAATCCCCTCCATGAGCACAAGAATGCACAAGCCAAAACCAGGAACAGATACAATCACTGCAGCACATTTTTCTTTCATTCATCAGGCTCATTCCACCTGGGAAATTGGTTTAAACTGCAGCAATGGAGGAATGCAATTTTCCATAGATGAGAAGCCAAGCAGCTACATACTTTGGAGAATGCCCAGGTTAGTTTTTATTGTTCCTCTCACAAAAGGAGGAAATTTGGTTGGGTATTTTTCCCTGACATTTTTGGGTTTGACAGAGGTAGTATCAAGACTCAGAGCAGAACATCTGCATCAGACTTCAAATAACATAGTCTGCACTGTTGTTCTGATAGCTATAAATTGCTTCAATTTAAAGTATGAGCAACATATTATATTTTACTATCCATAGTCATGCCTAATAAGGAGAAACACCTTCACGATTGTTTCTCAAATGCATTAAGTATATGCCTAAATGACCAAAACACCCAAGATCAGCCACTCACCAAAAAAGATAGATTTTAAAAATAAACACATCCAAAAACATGAGTTCCCTGAATGACATCAAAAGACTTTTGGCAAAATAAAGGACTCTGATTTTCACAGACTATAATGTTGAGAGATTTAGTGAATACTATGCTACAGCTATTTTTAGGGTAATATTTTTATTAAATTCTTCTTCCATCTGTGCTTTTAGATCAGATTTAACAGTGACATAATTTACTCTGCTACCCTTCTCATGATGCAACTCACATGATTTAGCTGGAACAGAACTGTCTGATCCTTACATCCGCAGCAATTTTCTGTTACTGTTTTCAAAAATAAGACAAGCTGTCATTCCCAATTAACTTGATTCAGGGTATTCATCCTCTTCTCAGCATTCCTCTTGTCCCAAAGGGATGAAACCTACAGCTCTGTGCTGGTATTACACTGCAATTCTGCACAGAAGGGTCTGGCACATATTGTAAGGCAGTTTAAGAGACAGGAAAGAACTACTCTTACTAACTTCGGAACAAACACCTGGAATGAACAGGGTTGTGCGTGTACATGTGGCACAGGTGCTCCAGCAGCGACACCAGCAGCAGCTGATTTTGGATGGTCGAAGTGAAAGTCACAAACTTTTGCGACGCATTTGCCACTCGCAGCTCGGCTGGCACATCCGACTCTGGAAATGGACAGTCAGAGGAATGAGCTCAGGTCTCAGCACACACCTATCTACCCAACCATCACAACAACACACAACAGCTTCACCACCACGCCGGCTCGCACCACGCACTGCCATAGAGAGAGCAGCTTAAGACACTAATT